TACTAAAACAGTGAGATAATATACACCACCGTCATTAATTCGAGTGATTTCTTCGCTTGTCACGGATGCAAACCGGGACGCCATTTTTTCCCGAGTTGCTCGGAGGTAAATAGTAAAGGATATTCTGAGTTTGAATAGCCAACCAGAGCGCGCCTTCAACGCTATCCACTGTTTTAGTATATACTAAAACCAAATAATCGTGTAATGCCTCCCACCGACGCAGCACCACAGTTTCTCTAGACACTTACTTGCTTTAGTCAGTCAATTGGTTAATAAAACCAGCAATCGATCATTCGAATATGCAATCAATCACTTACCCAATAAGTAGCTTGATGGATTTATCGATCACTTAATTATCTAGTGACTGACTGACTAACTAACTCACTCATTGATTGACGGACTGACCAGCTTACTCAGTGACTGACTGATGGTTAGAGGGCTTAGATGATGAATGATTGGCTAACTGCTGACTGATTGTTTGAATGATGAGCCGACAAATGATTAACGCAGATCAGACAGTCAGTCGCATAAATTACTGAAAACGTTTGACTAGTTTCACTGGAGGAGAAAGACTATCCTCGTCTAACATATTCTCACAGATGCCGTACGTACCTCCGGACGTCCATGGTTGAGCTTTGGCCATGATCCAGCTTTCGTCTGCCCAAAAGAAATTCATCGAGCATGTCTTCATCCGCTACGCCAGCTGTTCACAGATTTAAGAATTATCTATTTGTAAGTTGCTGATTGGTCCATTTTATGAGTAATTTGGATTTTTTTGTAGCTTGAAATAAGTCTGATGAGAACATAGACAACATCCCACAGGGGTGTTTTAAGCATTCTCTTTGTATTAAGTACTGTTTCTGATAAGGACGATTGTTCTCAAAAGGAATTTAATGAGGAAAAGCAATAATAAAAAAAAAAACTCGAAAAACGTTAACGATCTTCAGTTTGAATGTAGTCGAGGTGACTCGAGGGGAAGGATTAATTAAACTTTAGTCAAAACAATGGCTATACCCCTTGCAAATTCAGTGCAATTTGATCAAGTGCAGCCTGAAAACTAAAAATTGCGATTGGCTTATGGTATGAACTATAAAAAGAACGATCACTTTTCTTTGAACCAAAGCACTCATTTAGGCAATTTCAGGTTTGAGAAAGTTTATATTAGCGCTATTACCGGAGGCAAACTGATATTTAGATGGCGCCCTGAAAGTAATTTTTGTCTTTTAAAGATTAAAGTCTTTTAAGGATTTCCCTTTGGCAGTTCTACGCTCTAAGTAAAATGAATAATCATCAGATTTGGCAACAATATTATCGTACTCTGTGAAATTATCTCTCCTTGCTATTTGTGGTTAGAATCTAACTCCATAGGCTCTTTAGTACGGCCGCTTCCAACACCATCTGAAATGATCTTTAAAGGCCAAGATCTTTTTCATTGATTAACAATCACTATGTAGCCCTTTTATAAACCATTTACAAGTAGTGCTTTTTTACTGCCTGACGAGAGATCTTTAAGTCCTAAGGGTGATCATAATCAGTAATATCCATTCTATCTTTGCTATAACAATTCACTGACAAACTGTTCACTCGGATAAATACTGAAAAATCAGCAAGGGGCATTCAGAAAATTCTCAGAATTGTCTTTCAAAGAATAGTAATATCATCGGACAAAGTGCAGAAATATTACTTCAATCGTTGCATAATTTTGGAGAGTTGTAGCATCCATTCTTATAAGATTTGACAAAACTTTTGAAATAACCTCACGAGTAAAGCTGGTCGGAATTTAATGGCACACAATAGATATTTCCTTCCTCTAAATTACTTATTACGTAGATCTTTATCAAAAGTAAGATCAATCCGGTGTATTTTTCAATATTCAGCCTCAGAATATTTTCGTTTGAAACAGAAATCAGTGGGGAAAAAAGAAAGCGAGGATGTGAAATAAGAAGGCGGTCCGAAGTGACGAGGTTAATGACATGTTTACTTTGAAACGAAATGGAAACCATTTCAAATCGATTCAAAGCCAGTAAATTCGCCAATCACAGAACGCGTAGCATGTGAATGGAAGTACACTTTAAGTTCAAAATAATTTTCGTCGTGTTATGACTTTCCCCCCTCTTTATTACATCCAAAGCGAAATCTTCCTATCACAAATGCACTCGCAACTCTCTGATTACCATCATTTAAAATAAATTATCCTCACACAAAAAAATTGATATCAGTAAGTTGGTTTCTTTTCACAAATTTCTGTCATGTAGATATTCTCACTTTTCCTCGATCAGTTCACTGGAAATCGCTGTTTGTAATTGAATTTTAATTTGCCAAATTCTCTGGCAAGAGTCTTTTCCTCTGAATTCACCCTTTTCCAGTCTTATCCTAAAGCAAAGTAAATTGACTTTTCCATAATCGTATCATTTCTCATTTAACGTCAAAATCACATCAAATGAAGTTGATTATGGTGTATTTTCCATTTGCTTTGATTAATAAAGACATGTACTTGCGTCACAAGACAGAATCTCGACAAGAGATAACCTAATCTTGTATACACTGGTGAGAAAATTTCTATGTGGAGTTAAATATATTCAGAAACTAGAACAAACAGAAAATTCGCAGCTACTTGCAATATTATTTTTCTTTTAGACTTTTTTTTTCATCTCGGCAGCACGCCGGCAAAACTTTATCTCTAAAAGGTGCAATACTGCTTTTCGATATTTAAGGTTATCTCATGTATAGCGAAGATAAATCTGATATCGAAAGAGAATCACATTTGAAAGAAAATATTGTCCCCTAATACTCTAAAAGAAGACATTCTATGATAAGGAACACATTTTCCCACTAGGGAATTAAATTGGGCGAACAAAAATTCTTCCTGTTATGCACCCGAGGAAATGAAAATCTTTTCCAGTGGCAAGACTGGAAAGACAATTAAAAAAAAAAAATAAAATAAAATAAAATAAACCACCACCTCTCGCTACAGTTTGCCAGAAATTTGTAGTCAAAGAAATTTCACTGTGAATAACAACAGGGAAAGAAACTTAAATATATGTGTAAAGTAATATTTTTGAACTTATTCACTAAGTGTAATTTAGTTTCCTTACAATTGTCAACATTGACAGGGATTGAAAAAGAAACGACATGATGAAATACATGTAACTGACTTGCTGGTAGATCACTTACATATAAGCGCCACTGAAACCACAACAAATCGAGTAAAATGGACCCAGTGTGGCTTTATAAATCGTCTAAAACTGTTATGACCTCGTTGCTCAATGATTTATGACATAAAAGATTACGGATCCGTTGGACAATTTTAGAACCGTGAATTTCGCAGTCACCACGGGCAGAACACGTTCATCACGCCGGGGAAAACCTTTCTTACCGTAATACAGCGGAACATCCAACGGCATTGGGGCGTTTGGCTAATTCGTGACGAAGTAGCGCTCGATCAACGCTCCTCGAGCAGTCACAAATACAACGCTTACCAAAACAGCGAAACAAAACAATCCGTCAAATTTGCATTTGCGAACGAGTGAGGAGGTGTAACGACAATCCAAGATTAATACATTTCTCCTGCGGAAACTGATTTGACGAAAATCTCTAATTGCCACAATAAACATAAGAGCTTGCACTTTTACATTTGGATGTACACCTGTCACTTTCGACGGGAATCGACAAAAATTGCCCGAAAATATCTCGGGGCTGTGAAAAGCGACCGCAAAAAAATTTTTGAAAATTTTCTTGAATTGAGGCGCTACTTTCAGTGATTGCCATTTCTTATTGTAGTGCCGGATGTTTTTCAGGGAAGATAAAATAATCGTGGTTTTCTCTTTTCCGGCAGCTGTTTGTGTTTGATGTCAAATGCATGTCGATTTGCCACTTCACGAAAAAAAGTGAAACAAAATGCTTTCACCTTGTTAAACTTGCGCTTACATCCGGGAATTTTTAATTGCTCATTCTTGTGTCCAGTCTCCTTATCAATAGACCATTGCGAATTTAACGTCGGATAAGGAGAAGTGTCTTCATGAGAGCGGGAAAGAACATTCTGGTGAAAAAGTGGGCCCACGATCGATATAACTGGACTCAAACTTTGGACTCATGAGATGTCTCCTTTGGTAGGTGCACCAGAGTTTTTCTTTGCTGGTTCATTGTCACGAGCTTTTCAAAGGAGACATCTCAGCTTTTTTTAAATTATCGTGTTTTTAAATCAAGGGGTTTAATTTCCATGCTAGGTGCGCAAGGGAAAAAAGGAATGCGGCTCTTTTGCTCGTCGCCAGTCTTTAAGCGAAGTGAGTAATGGCTGTGAACGACTTTTCTCCACAAACGATCTGATCAGGATCACTTTCGCCGCTATACAGTGTGGATGGAAGTTCACCTGTTTTAAATGATGTACAATACGCAGTGCTTCAAAAGGCCAATTTGATCTTTCTCCTTACATCAAATTTTATTTTAAGATTGAAATTCACATATATTCAATTTGATATTTCTATTTTGACTAAAAAATACGTCTACACTAGACTAATCACCAGGGCTCACTGTGAACCTTCAATTCCCTATAATAATCAATACAGACCCTCTCCCTACTGCCTCAAGACAGATTCAGAGGCCAGATCAAAACCTGGCCCAAAACATCAATCTTCCCAGGAAGGATTACAGAAGATGTACTAGCATTGTTGGGAGAATCCAACTATGGATACTGAACTTTGGACCTAAAGGTTGGCTGAAACATAACCGTCTATGTATATATTAAAATAATATAAAAACTACTGACTGAAAATTTCAATATCGATCATTCCTTATCCAGTGACGACTCATTATCTTATAATCTATGATTATTAAACAAGGATTAACGTAACAACAAGACATGATATTTTGTTACAAGTTGGTTACGATCTTCTAGGGCTAGGCAGATTCACATTTGTCCGAAGGTACAAGTGTGCTGACCAGTGTAATTAAGATGAGAAATCAGCAGCAGGGCCAGGTTGTTCAAAGCTGAGTTAACATAACCCAGGGTTAGTGTGAAATCTGATTTCAGATTTGAAAGCTTTAAAAGAAAATTCAGTTGCATTACTTTTGTCTACAATTTGATTACTGGATTCCCTACAAAGAATAGAGGAAATTACCTGAAAAAGGCCTTTGAACAAGGTAATAAAGAAGCCCGGATCAAAATTTAACCCTAGGTTAGCGCTAATCGACTTCGAGCTACCGGACCCTGGGAATAATTACCATTACCTTACTTTCTTTTAAATCCATTATAAAAAAAAAAAAAAAAATGAATAAAATAATCACAACAACCATTCAGAACGAAGGTAACCAACGCACGCAGCCAAAGACAACTCGACGAATGTACAAGACTAGTCTCAAGCTAAGTGACCAGGGCCCAGTTGTTCGAAGACTGATTAGTGCTAACCCAGGGTTAAATTTTAATCCAGGTTTCTATATTTCTCTGTTCAAAAGCCGTTTTAAGATAATTTTCCCAATTATTCTTAGACATTCAATCATCAAATTGTAAACAAATGGAATTAAAGTGCATTTAATTTTAAAGCTTTCAGATCTGCAATTAAATTTCACGGTAACCCTGGGTTATCTTGACCCGCCTTTGAACAACCCGGCCCAGATCTCGATCGTCTCAGCTATCGATAAGATTGGCTGAAAGGGTGTCGAGACCATACAACATAACACAGCAAAAAAATTTTGATTCAATGGAAAATTGCTTCATAACCCTTTTGTTCTGCGGTACCTCACTAAAAGCTAGCGGACAAATCAAGTACTGTGGTACCTCACTAAAAGCTAGCGGACAAATCAAGTATTCATAATGTGCAATGGGCCATTTCCAAATTACCCTTGGCCTCGTTTTCAAAACGAGGCCTGGTACTCAACCATTCTTACGAAGAGAGTTTAATTTGCATGTGAATGTATCATCATATGAAAAGATGAGCACCAGGACTCGCTTTGAAAAATAGGCTTAAGGTGATTCGAAAATTGAATATTTCCATTCGAGAAAGCAACTTGTTTTTTTAATACAATAAAATAAAAATTACAGCTCTTGCTTTGGATGACACCTCACTTTGCTCGATAAATGTTGACACTTACAGTAGTGTAAGTGATCAGTACCTTACGTCTCCCCTACAATTTCAATACAGGGGCGTAGCCAGGATTTTTCAAAGGCAGGGGGGGTCACAGAGGCTACTCACCATTTACACCGCTGCTCTCCCGCGTGTATCAGCGGGCTCAGTCGTATTATTGCGGCACGAAGGCCCATATCAATGGCTTTTACGGCCAAGATATTGTCATGGCGTTTTCGCCACCTGAATATTGTAGGTTGATTGCTCTAAAGAAGACCTACCAAGGGGGGGTCACGGGCACCCCAGGAATCCCCTGGCTTCGCCCTTGCAATACGTTCTCTGACAGTCAGGTAAGGAGAAACAACAAAAATATCAACTAAGGTACAGACTTTGAAATAAAATTCTCAATACTAGCTAACAAAAAAATTAGCATAACGAAAACAAAATAAGCTCTCACATTTTAAGAGTTTCGTCATTCTTGGAACTCGACTTCTTTAGCAAAAAAGCACTTTAAGAAATCTGATAAAATTAAATAACACTGATAAATAAAAGATGAACAGAAAGAATAATGCTCACACTCATTTCAACGAGGAGTCATCCAAACAGAGTTACAGTAACAACTGAGCATTGATATAAACTGGTTAAATATGGAAAGGACTGCTATAAATATAGGAATTTAAATTAAGTTTCGAACATACGCACGATTTTCTGTTTATAATGTCTCTTATTGATGCCTTTAATATATTAATATATTTTACTACCACATGTAGCTTGGAGTTACGGTCAACCTCAGGAATCCATGTAAACCCGAAAAAGGTCACACGAGCAAGCTCCCTAGATGATGTGAAGTCACACTTTATCGTCTTCGGACACAAGGTCACGCCCTTGTGTCTTCTGATCTTTAGTAACTGAATACTATCTAGAAATAACAATCATACCCCCAAACTACAAATTAGCTATTACTTTATGAAATTAAATTTTAGTACCCTAATAAGCGATAATAATCAAGATAACCAATGACGATTTACGTCTCTGACTAGGTTTCTGTGAGTCACGTGTATGAGGGATAATCAACATGCTCATTAAATAAATAATATATATTAAAGAAATCTTATATTAGTCACTATCATTAAAGATTTTGTAAATTATAAATCGGACGTTCTAGACGTACATATATACATTTGAAATAAAGCTTTTAACATATCTTTTTAGTATTTGGCTTTTGAGGAGGGGAAATACACCAATGTATGTTTGCTTCACATGAAGTAAAGCTACCAAGTTCTAAGCTAAAAATGATGTAGACGCAAGTCTCTAGAGTAATTAACCTGAAAATCGATTTCTTAACGCATACATAAATTTCAATTAAATGCATAAAAATCTGAAAATTGCCCTTTAAAATTACGATGATTACACAGGCCACAAAGAGAATTTCCGGCGCCACAGAATTAAAAAAAAAAAACCTAGAATAAAATTCGACTCTGATTTTCATGAATTCATATATACTATTTACAATTACAGCTTTTACGTTAAATTATTTGTACAGGTTTCTCTTGCACTGAGTAAAGAGAGACGGTAGGATAAAGTGCTTTCTTAACCGTGTAACTCCCGTGAATTTATAAGTAATTTTTCCCTTCTGACTGCCATAAAGTTTCCAGCAAATTGCTATAAAGAATTTGGTGTTATATCAAGGTCATACCCTCTGGCGAATAAGCTTGTCTGCGTTATCCTTTTTGCAGGATAACGCACCAAAGTCACACTTCGGGAGTTAAAGAGTCAAAAAACAAAACAAAACAAACAAACAAAAAAAAAAAACAAAAAAACAAAAAAAGTTGAACAAGCAAACTGGAAATCAGAGGAATTAAAAGGAGTCACAACCGTCAAAAGTTTTCTAATATTGCACCACACCTATAAATGCAATATTTAGTTCTTATTAACCGAGCGGGAGGTCTGTATGGGAGAATCTTGACCGAGGTCGCCAGTACAGACCAAACGCAGTGAGGTCTGTACGACTGTACCAGCGACCGAGGTCAAGATTCTCCCCTACAGACCGACCGAGCTTGGTTAATAAGATTGTTTATTATATGGCTGTGTCTTGTATGCCAATTTTTTATATTCTTTGTACCTTTTTTTTCTAGACCGGTCTAGATGGGAAAATCTAGACCGCTTTCAATACTGATTTCAGCCAATCAAATCCGTGAATTCGGTAGTTCCCAGTCCTTGCGAGACACAGTCATATAATAATGCACTATTATCTCTGGTAACAAGTGAAGTAAAAGACGAAATCAAAGGTAAACGCAGTGGATAGAGCAAGCAACATGTAGATAAAGAAAAAGGACATTAAACTATTGGTTCCAGTGGTGGAGCGTATAAATAGTGCATAAATATGATTATCAGGAACATAAAATATAATGGTTGTAACAGAAGAAACAAGACGACAAAATTAAATGAGCAAAACCATCGTGAAAAGGCTTCCTACTTTAGAGGAGAAAATAATAAAAACACAAGTGTAAATGCTTTTCGAAGCCTCAGTTGAGACTACAACCGTTACTGTAATATTTTAAAAGATATGTAGTCAGCAGACTTAATAATTATTATGATAAAACTCTTACCTTCTCTGGTATTAATAATTAATAATTACTAATTTCGTAACAATAATTTCACTTAATATTCCCATATATATGATAACCTTAGTATATATAATAATTAAGAATTATTGGTATTAATAAATCTTTTCACAAACCTTTTTTTTTTTTGTATCTAAAACTTAAAATCTGCCAATGCTTCTTTGATATCTGCAATTAGTTCTTTGTAATCTGTAGCATTTTCTTCAATAATCTGCTGTAATTTTTCAATATACGTATCCATGGAATCAAAAGTGAGCTTCACACCGATGTCTGGAACCTGAACATGAGACAGTGAGGCGATAAATCGCGTCTGTACCACGGCGAGTTTGGTTTCCACCACCCCTGTCCTGTGTCGGTTACTCGCTGTCTCCTCTTTACAAATTGTCAGTCGCTGTTCCAGTTTGCTTATCTCTGAGTCGAGCTCCTTGTTGAGTTTCTCGCATTCCTCGTTCGAAGACTGAAGCACGCCGATCTCCTTATCCAAGGCGCGTACTTTTTCGATTTCTTGTTGAGCTGGTGTGGTAAAAGCAGCATCAAGCGAGAACTTCTTTTATTTCGGATTTTGATTAAAAAATCTGACGGTTCTCCCTGCCTTCCTTGTCTATCAATGCTGCTTCCTGTATCTCATTTATGCCAAACTAAGTGTCGAAAAGAAGTCATTCGCTTTGCTTACTTGTTGTTTGAGTTTTTTATGATAGTGGGGTGGCAAAAAGGAAACGACCAAGCTAACTGTCTGCCTCGCGTGTTTGTAAACTGACCTTTGAGACTCCTCTTTGAAAACTGAATAACTGAAGACTCTTTCTCATCCTCTTTATCTACGCTGAAAACTTCGACTGCTTGCCTTTCCCTGTTCAAAGCAGGCACTAAGTGTAGAGGTTTACAAAATTCCGGTAGTTTCTGACCCGCTATTTGACGATAAGTAACTTACATGTCTTTCAAAAAAGACATGCGAACCTGCGCTTGGAGTGCAAATAATTTTCTAATGAGCCTAGCTTATTCTATTCCTCCCAGTTCACATGAAAGATTTCGTCTACGTTGCGGCCGCTATACTTGGTCCTTCCGGCGCATATTTCGAGAGCAGATGTCCACACACGGTTTAAAACCTCGACACAAGTTCTTCAGATAATCGTGTCAGTGAATCCTCTTAACTAAACGAAAAAAGCCACATCGTGTAAATTTGCCTTCCCCTGCATCATGTGGCTTCGTGGCTCAGCATCCCGTCGAAGCCTAAAATTTTTTTAGGCTTCTTCACAGCAATTTCTTTAATCGCAGCTCACCAGCGAGGCTCATTTCTTTACTACTTAAGGGTCTTGGCCGACATCCTTTGTCGAGTGCTGCACCACAACTTTATGTACATCTGAGAACGAGGATCACTGACGATCCTCATTTACAGCAGTCAGCCGCGAATTGATGAGAAGATAAGACCTACGATCTTCGCAGTAATGAACACAACTTAAGCAGTAGTGAAAATGAGGCCTGAAAAAAAATCATGCCTGTACGGGATTTGAACTTATGACCTCTGCGATACCGGTGCAGTGCTCTACCAACTGAGCTAACCAGCCAACTGGGAGCTAGTCATTATGTTGGTTCGTAATAAACACGTTATATATTCATAGTCAGAGGACCTATTGTTTCTAAACAACTACCCTAACTCTCTAGAACTACATACATAAAATACCAACATTACCTTTGCCTGATCGGATTTTAACCAGCTTAACATCTGGATTTCTGGCGCTTGCCTGAGCCAACAACTTGGACTCCGCTTCCTGTCTCATGAGAACTTTCTTCTCCGAAGGAGAAACCAAAGGGCAGCCCGATAAACTGTGGAAACATATAAGAGATTAACGTTAGTTTAAAAGGAAACTGTTGTCAGGCTCTTTCATGCACCAAAGAAGAAACAAAATGCGAAGTGTCACACCGACAAATTCCAACCTTGATTTAAACAGACTAATCTCCCTCCCTCACTCCCATACTACTAAAACTTCAAGTAAACGTATAGATGAACAAAAGAAACGAAAACTGTTCTTACCTCCTGTGGGTACTGAATTGACCACTGGAATGTCCTGTCCCGTCACATCCAGGGGTAGGACACCTGATGGAAGAGTAACATACATCTTACTTCTTCACCTTCCTTTTACGAAATTTATCATAGGATGTTTCGAATATAATTATATTTCAGTGCACAGTGCTTCACTGACGGATTAAGTTGGCATCGAAGCAGTACAGAACTGGTTATTTCAATTTCTCCCATACTCGTTTCTCCTTCATTCTTAATACGGTCAACAATGAAAATTTAAAGATTGAATTTTGGAATGTAATTCTATTCTTTTCCTTTAAAATCATTCTTTGGTGTTTCATGCAAGTAAAAGGATCTGGATATTCATATTGATAAAAAACAATACAATGACTTACATAGGGCCAGCTTTATCGGACTGCGGACTCCCTTAAAAATGAAAAGAAGAAAAAGACTGATTATGAATAGCATATATTCACGTTGGCAAAACACCGTCGGCCGAGGATTGTCGATTCCCATTCCACATTCCTGGGCTTAAGTCTTACATATTAGCGATTCCAGAAACGGACGTACGGATTGGACATGATACTTACCTTCAGCATTTTGAAGAGCAAGCTTGGGAGCCAGAGGGCATCCTGACAAACTAAAAAAAAAAACAAAAAATTTAACTTTTAACCCTTAAACTCCCAAGATCTAATTGTTAATTTTCCCCTCAAGCTGCTACACATTTCCTTGTAAAATAGTTACGAGGATATGATGTTCAATCAAAGTAACAACTTCTACCTGTTAAGTTTGAGTATTCTCACTACTTGTTTTCTGGATAAAGTATGGATTTCAAAGGGAGAAGTTACCTGTTAATCACTTTTGTGAGTTAAAGGTTAAGATTAAAGCAGCCATTGATTGATAAACAAATTTTCGTTTTTAATGAGAACAGTGTGGAGAATATTCTTATAGCTGTTGCGGAGTCAAGCTAGCATGATCCCAGAGTAGAGCAAGTGGAAATTAAGAGCTACGACTTGATAACGAGTTGTAATTCCTCCCTCGCGAGTCAATGAATAGTTTATTAGCTTCGCCGACAGGCAGGGACACCGCTACAGCTTGCGCCAATTACTGCGGACCCAGTAAACCCACCCATCCCACCCCAGGGGAGGACATCCATCACACAGTAATCTCGTGCGTGGGAAATTAACGTCTCCTGCCCCTAACCCTGCAGGAGTCGGGACCTCCATTTATTCGTCCCTATCCGAGAAGACTAGAATATCTAACCATTTCTTGATGTTAACGTCTGAGAAAGGTAGCATATTCTTCTCGATCATTTTAAGACCTTGAGTTTTGGTCCGGCTGGGGCTTGAACCCTCGACCTGCCGCACAACAGTCCAGCGCTCTATCCATTGAGCTAACCGGGAGGCTAAATTTATCTAAATTATTCCACTGACAGGAATGGAGTTAAAAGACTTGCAGTTATGACAGCGTGGTGTACTCAACCAGGGCCAAATAATCGTTGGTTGGCGGATTGGATAATAAACCCACTGTTCCTTAGTGGAATGATAAAAGACATGACTACCATGGAGAAAATGATTGAGAAAACTGACCCCCAGGAGTTAAACTACACAATTATCAGACCTTGTGGATTAACTAATGGTAAGCTGCATGATATGGATCAATTTGATGGCTTGCCTGCAGTTTAGGCATGCTGTATTTAAGGTTTATGAATGAGCATGATCAAACAGTCATTACTTGTCCGTGGATTTTGTGGGCACCATTTTCCATCTTCATTGGCAAGAATAAGGCTAGAAAGAACTGGGTTTGGGGTAAACAAAACTGGAAGGGGTTAAATGGGCCAAGGGAGGGAGAAGAATTCCTCTCATATGTTTTTCCCCACCCTTTCTGTACTCATTTTGTTTTTCAAATCCAACATGTTACCTCTTTAAGTTAAACTAAGAGTAGTCCCTCTTTTTTTTGCAAAGTTCGTCACACCCTGAAAAGGTAGGACTGCTCGTAGTCACCTTGAAGTAAATTTTAAGACCCAAGAATACCACATGTAAGTTGTGCTTCCTTCTAACTTGCATGTTGCTGAATATATATATCTTATTAGATGTTTTGTTGTGTAGTATCACAGAATATTTTTATGAGTTGTACTGTATTTTGACGAACCTGTCGGGCGAATCAAAATACAAACAACGAGTAAAAGTACATAGCAATACTACACAACAAAATGTCTAATAAGAGACTTATTATCCACCTCGCTAAATTGTTATTTCAGCGTGAACAAATTTTGCGGGTATTTCTGGAGCACAAATATAACGTGATATTTGTACTCATCTTGCACATTGTTTGTACTCTACAAAGCACAGTTGGATAATAATTTAGCTTATTAGTGTAAGACCAAGTCACAATTATTAAAACTAGTGCTGTCCTCCCCTTGCGATCTTAAAACATCAATTTTTGTCACGGGTGTTGAAAACTCTGAAACNCCACCACACAGTAATCATGTGCGTGGGAGATTAACGTCTCCTACCCCTAACCATGCAGGAGACGGGGCCTACGGTTTATTCGTCCTTATCCGAGAAGACTAGAATATCTATCCATTTCTTGATATTATGGAAAGGTAGCAAATTCTCCTCAATTACTTTAAGACCATGAGTATTGGTCCGGTCGGGGTTCGAACCCTCGACCTCCTGCACAACATAATCCGGTGCTCTAACCAATTGAACTATACTGTAGAATGGCTAAATTTAGCGGGGGGGGGGGGGACGGTTAGCTCAGAGTTAACTCAAGCGGCCAGCTTTGAGCGCGGGAAAACGCCGGCGACCATGTCACGAGTGGGTTTAGTTCCACATCTGATTGGTTGGGAAAGTTGGACCACATTTCTCGACCAATCAAATTAATGCATTCCCGTGGAATAAACGCCCGCCAACGTACCTTCTGTGCGAAGCGTACTTCCCAGTCACATGACCTGTTCCATCACAACCAACTGTAGGGCACCTAGAACAAGAGTGATATTGGTTTTTAATACTACACTGAACAAACAAAACACAGAAATCAACTCAAAATACTCACTGCGGAATAACACATACATGTACCTAACTTCTTGGTGTTCCTGTTGCTGCATTTTGGCTGCAAGTGGACACCCTGACAAACTGAAATACCAGACAGAATCAGTCGCTGGTAACACTGAATCTGCAATCTCATTTCCCTCTCCTTCTTAGACCTGTCATTAAATCCTCTTTGCCGATCTCTTTACATTTCTCCATTCACTTTGATAGTTTTTCTTTGATATCACAGCAAAAAATTTCAAAAGGCAAGAAGAGTACTTGCGGTTAGTCAAACTTTGCATTTGCAATAGGATAAAACAACTAAACGCCAGGGGAGATCAGAGCCTATTCTATTGCAGGTGTTAACAACGCTTTGCAATGGACAGCGCTCGGGAAAAAATCCATTGGAATTTAAAAATGTAACGTCCACGCGTAGTTCTTTCGCTATTGGGGAATCACAACTCCTGAAGTCGAGGAACGGATGGTTCTGTTCAACACTTTAGACTTGCCTAGAATATGCAGGTCAGCAAGTAAAGTCTCATGGGTTAGAACTTTCACTAACGTACCTCCTGTGTGTTGCATACTGCCCTGACACATGTCCCCTTCCATCACAGTTTGGAGTCGGACAACTAAGTATAAAAGGAAAAAAAAAAAGGGGAAAAATGTCGACATCTGAAAGCAACGACGAAAACAACACCAACACAAGAAGTTTAACTACAACGCTTAATTTACACACGGGATAACAACTAGTCTGCGCAAGCGACACTGATTTCCTTTTAATGCTTTAATCACCCAATGATTTCCTAGAGAGCCGATATAGCTTGTTAGACTGGCAAACTAGAGTAATCACTCACCTGAGAAGTTCTTTAGGTTTCCCATCAGATCCTATAAATAATGGAAACGCATCTTAATTAATTTCTAAGCGTAATTGTTCTTACCATATAGAAGTGCATCTTAAATTGACTGACATGCCTGAAAATGCCTTAGATACTGAAGTATTATGGAACATCAGTTAAAGAGATCGACGGCGCGGAAGAAGTCGAGGCGCTGGGGCGGGAAAATTTTCCCGCCTTTTTCGTTGCCAGGCGCGATTTGTCACGTGCCACCCAAATAGACAAACTTAGCATAGAGCAATCCCGCGCCCGTTGCTAAAGCAAAAACACAATTTGATACATCTTACCAAATTCACGTTTAACAGGGGTTTTCGGCAGAGGCGTGTTCCTCACTACTCTTGGACAGCCGGAGAGACGACGATGACTGGAAAAACGGCCATTCACATGTCCTGATCCATCACAACCCTCTGTTGGACAACTGGGTTAAACCAAAGAGAGAAAGACACCGTGTTTGTACAGATTGTAAAGAATAATCTCTGTTTCACCTCAAGTATTACACTCATAATATTTTGCATGGAGACCACGAGGGTCACTTTCAAAATTTCTCACAAGGTTGTTGGCAACACATGAAAATTGATACACACAATATACATACCCAATCAACTTTGAAGCACCTATGGAAGAGACAAAAGAAACAGCAGAAGGTATTAGTGAATCATAAGACAATCTGTGGGGCTCAAGACTGCCTCGCGACGACTACAACTAGAGACAAAAACTTTTGACACCTTGTCACTGGAATTTCTACAAAAGAAATGTCTCGACCCTGTTGCAGTACTAAATTAATCCGAATGGTTGAGAGGGCAAAACAGAATGTACATCTGGATTGATTCTGACACTCAACTGGAAATTGCCTTTTAAGTGACATGCATCCTGTACACTGCTAGGATAAGCAAGGTTGATACCTTCAACTTTGCATAGAGATTCCAAGATAGCTTCAATAAGCATTTCCTGACACTTACTTCTCCCTCCTCCATAATCAGAGTCATCAGCATCCTCTCTGATGTCATAATCTTCCTCAGATGAACTCTCTGAAGATGTGTACTGGACAACTTCTTTAGCCTCTAGGCAAATCTCATCTGAACTCAACTCGCCCTCTTCATCATCATTATCATCTTCATCACCACCACCACCATTTCCTGTGTCAATTGGCCCTTTAACAATTCCATCATCAGATTCCTCTGAAGGGCACTCCTTAGGAGACACTTCCTTGGGGATGGGAGCCCGATTGACACTCATGACTGAGTTTGCCACAGCCACAGCAGTTGTGGCTGAGATTACACTTGGCATGGACAATGCTGGGAGGGAATCAGTGGAAGTGGTCACTGATGAGGACTCACACTTCATTCTGGGAGGCTTACTCTTGAGGAAAGTAAAATGAACAGGTGAATCTTTGGTGTCTGAATCAAAGTTCAGTTCTTTCTTGGCTGAGCTGTCCTCAGTGCTGGAGGCAGAGGAAATGCCCGAGTCTGGAGATGTGGGACTTTCTTGAGGCAATGTCTTGTCTGTCAGAATACATTTTTGTGGGCGGCCTGTAATAAAGAAGAAACAGCTCAGATCTCCTAGAATCTTGGTAAATGCTGTTGCTACACCCAAGAGTGATAGGTATTGACTTTCTCAGGTCATTTCAAGATAACCCACGAATACTTTTTTTTTTGTTAAAGACTAGGTTGTATACTTGAGACACAGAAATATGTTGTTCATTTTCTTAAATATTATTTTGCCTACATCCACTGTGACTATCGTTTCACCAAAGCCTTTATTTTACACTTCCATAGAGGTGAAGTGCATAATCACAGAAGCCTAAAATGAATACAGTAACAAGAAGTAAAAAATAAACAATGAGTTTCCAATAACTATTTTTCCCCACTAGTAAATTACTCAGCAGAGCAGTGTGCTATACCAGGAAAACAACCTTTGGTCATTTGTGTATTCTAATTACTTGGTTCTTTGGGCAATGCTTGGAAATTGTGAGAATCGCTTCAGTCACCTCAGAGAGTATAAAAAGGGTTAACTGGCAACATACAAGTTATTTGCTAAAAGGTTAGTATTTACAGCTACTGGTACCTCATGGCTCAGTGAAGTAAGAAAAACTTACTCTTCTTGTGTGGTGGAGTAGTAGGTGGACTTCTGTACTGACGTGAAACCTGCTTCTGGAATGTAGCTAGGGGACAACCTGAAAGACTACAATTTAAATCACCAGGGTCACATTAGTTTCAAAAAGAGTAAATTATACTACAACCAGTGACAAGAAAATGCAAGGGTAAAGGGAGGAGGTTATTTCTTGAAAAAATATTTTTGGGATGTGAAGGTTGTAAGAACATCAGTGACAACTCAGCTATACTCCTCTCGTGCTACTATTTTGTTCTCAACACATTTTGACATCATCTGTGATCTATTGTTGAACAGACACACAGTAACAAGGAATCTGTTTCTTACATGGAGCACAATTTGCAACTGTTAACCCTACCTTCTGTGTGATGTGTACAACCCTGTTCTGTGTCCAGTGCCATCACAGCCTGGAGTTGGACATCTATGGAAACATTTAGTAAAGAATTCCATATTCAAAAAATGAAGATCGCAATATAAAAAGACCTGAGGAAATCATTGATTAAACAAATAGGCCAATGACCAAATAGCTAAATAAATAATCGCTGAAAACCCACATTTAAAACTCTGAACTTAGATAAAAAACCTACATGTACCTTGCTCCATTGTCATCTCCTGAAGCTTTTCCTGGAAATGACAAAAAAAATTCAACTAAATTGTACTGTCTTGTACAATGTATCCCATTAATGCATATGTTACAGCTACAATCCGTCTCTATTTTCCAGATGGCAGACTAGCTACAGAGTCATCTCCTATACAAGCTCAGTATAGTTCAAATCTCCTGCACCAGGCAACCATCTTCAAAGTTCACTTTTGAAGTTTTTAGGTTGCTTTTACCCACCCTTGTTTTAAGCACCTATGCCACACAACACTGATATGTGTATAATAACAGTGTTAACCCTGTCATATCGTTGGTCTGAATATCAATTCTCCACTTTGTCTGGTAGACATTTTTTTGAAATTCTGGTTTCCAGAATTTAGTATTGAATAAAAAAAAAAAATCCCCTTATTGATGTTTTGGTAAGTGTGGAGAACAGCTTCCTTCTACTGATCTATCTGTTAGCTGACAGTTAATTGAAATGTGACTGACATATAACAGATGGGCTAGCAACAGGTTACCAGTTGGCCTTACAAAAATTTCCAGTTTTTTCAGGGAGTTGTTCCTCACAAGTACCAATATTTTTTTTTTCTCAGAGACTTTCTGCTTGAAAATGTACTTATCCCATTGGGAGAAATTCCTATTTGGTCACTTCCAGGGGGTGATAGGGTTCATAGAAAAATACATTTAAGAAGAATGTAATAATTTTCCATTACTTACCATCTTTGCTTTTCTCCACAGAGACTCTCCTTGGGCATCCATAGAGACTGCAAACCATAAAATTCAGTAACAAATGGTGTTAACTATTTTAAAGCTTGGATTTGCAGTGACTATTAGAGACAGTGTTGTGAGTGATATAGGAAAACACTCCTCATATATTTGATAATTTAGGTCTGTACAATTTTTTTTTCTTTTTTTTTTTAAAGCTTGGATTTGCAGTGACTATTAGAGACAATGTTGTGAGTGATATAGGAAAACACTCCTCGTATATTTGATAATTTAGGTCTGTACAACCTTAACTACTTCAAGTACATGGTCTTAAAAATGTCTTTATTATTACAGTTGCTTTGTGATCCTTTCTAATAGAACTTGCAGAGAAATATTGCAAAAAAAATGACATGTCTTCAGACTTGATGATCAAAACATAGCACACTTTGACATGTCTGGAATATATATAATTATATTAAAAAAGCTTCCATGTCTTGATGTGCACATGTTATGATCACACAACTGTAAAATTGTGCATTTGATACTGACCTTCTGTGGGAAGCAAATAATCCAGATTTATGTCCTGAACCATCACATCCTGGAGTGGGACACCTGTATATCATAAACACAAAAAGAGATTAAGGGTCAATGAATACAAGGGGAGCCTGTGTGAACAGCCATGCATAGTCTTTGTACTGATTGTCTGAGGTTGGTACTGGAAAGCTTCTTATACCTGTTATTTTCAATTTTATCATATACACAGTGAACAAATTATGGAAACAGTATTGAAATCAGTGTCCAGGTTGATGACAAACTGTTATTTGTGTTAAAAACTTTTAAATGACCAAAACCTTCACTGGTTTAAAACAAAACCATTTTTATTAGTCACCTTGATGTTTCTGAAGTTGCATCAGCATCATTGTCTGTTAATTCAAAATAAGGATCATAAACACGTGGCTACTATATAATGCACCAATATTTTGCATACCATAAATACTCTAATAAGCCCCCCTGGGAGCTTATTTATTTCAGGTACTTTAGAGGGGTGGCTTATAAGAGGAGGGACTTATTCACTTCAGGTAGTTTTGGTGGGGCAGCTTGATAAATTTCTTCCTCTGAAGAGTGGGATTATTAGAGGATTTACGGTACATATGCACAGACTAACCAAAACAAACAAACAAAAAACACTAATTGAAAAGGGAAGTTATGTTAGCTCCTTCAGACATTCAGGCTGTTTTGTTGCCTTGCCATAAGGAGTAAAACAAAGAGTTGACAAGAAGTTGATAATAAAAGTGAGACAAACTGCTTTTATTATTAGTTCTCTCAATTAACCCTCTCCACCCTAACATCAGTTTGCATATTCTCCATACTGCTCTCTATACCTTTCCTAAGGTGCTGACAAGGAGAATTTGTTTATCGATGAAGAGCTTCTTTAGTTGGTGATCATTTCCTTTATTCTCATGACCTTAATGTGCGATTTGGGGGTGATAATGTAAGGAGAAATTAGATGGTGGTCACTCTTAAGATAAAGGACTAAGCATTTTGTGCATGGTAAGTTTAGCAAGTCATATTGTTCTGCATGGCTTGCTAAACATTCAAGCTGTTTTTGTTGTTGTTTAAAGCTCTTGTTTTTATCACTGATCATCTCTGCAACCCTTTAGACACACAGTACAGATATAAAAAAGATCTTACAACCCTCATCTTCTCTAGCTAGCATTGTACTGTGATTATTGATCTTAGTTTTTACCGCTTCTATTTATGAGTTGTGAGCATACCATAAATCAAAGGGGAGATCTGTCTTGATAGGTAACTTAGAGTATGGACCTTAAGTAAGAGGTAAGTAGCAGTTTTTTTTTTTGCCTTTACCAACTTCTAGCCAAAAATTAACTAGGAAAAGCAGTTCACAATTTAGTCTAAATACCTCCACTGTCGAATCTGGAAAATCTCCTACTGGTTTTCTGTACATATGGGCAGCCATAGACACTGAAATCAAACAAGAAGAACTCAGTTACATGTTCAACTCTGTTACTGCTTCAGTCATTTGAATTTTTCCTATCTTGCCTGACTCCTATTTTGTAGTCTTAAGCCTTAACACGCAACATCTCAATAACATATAGATTTAGCCAAGCCTAAAGGTGGAGCTCCCAAGTTCGTAATATTAATGATGACATAAAAGATGTGCATTTGCCGAGACTCGCCTGAGACACCCCTCCCTTTGTTTTGATAGTCTCCCCTTCCCTACCTGTAGAATCCGAAGGCATATACATACGTATGCTCGGTCAGTCACGTGACAATCAAACAAAAAGAGGTTGATGATATTTCATGGATATGGGGCTCTGTCCCACGCATGCTTTGCGTGTATGGGAGCCCTGCTATAATATCCAAACATAATCCAGCAAACAGGTGATAAGAATCCTCAAATCTATTAGGTAGAAATTGTTATCTTGATCTACCACCAGATCCTCTTAACTAAGTTACATGGAAATGTGTCCCAGTTAGAGAGGAGAATTAACAATCGGATCTTGGAAAACAAAGGGTTAACAAGATAATGGTAGTTTTTCATACATGCCTCAAGAAATGACTTTTGCTATTATAATTGTTATATACTGATAGCTCCTTTACTAATGCTCACACATGAGACCTTAACCTTAAAGATCTTTTATTATCAGGTGATATTCAGTGTAGCAATAGTGTTTTCAGAGAAAACAGCTGAGCCAACTTAATAATTAAAAAGTGATTTCTGTATAACGATCACTTAAAAATATGAATGCGATTTCCTTGCTTCTTCTCTTTCATCCTTTGTGGAAAAGACAGTATTTCACTCAACCCCTGCACTTATTTGTGAATTACGTACTTATTAACCCTTCACACCTGAACATCAGTATGCATATTCTCCATACTGTTCTCTATACATTTCCTATGGTGCTGACAAGGAGAATTTGTTTGACAATCAAGAGCTTCTGTAGTTGGTGATCATTTCCTTTATCCTTGTGACTTGAATGTGTTATTAAGGGGTGATATTGTAAGGAGAAATTAGATGCTGGTCACTCTTAGGAGACAAAGAGTTCATGTTAGAGAGCCTCTTTTAAAAAAATCATACGGGGTGGCAAACAGGAAAATTTGAGACTTGCTAGATGTTGAGACCTTTGTTTGAAAATAACATACCCAGACTTATAAACAGTTTTAGTTATAAAATGTCATATTTTGGCCCCCTTCCATATTTTTTTTGCTCCTGTGCAATATCTTGAACCACTTTCTGCATAACAAGCATATCTCAAACATAAAGTCTGACAAATGATTAATTAATCCTATCTCTAACCTTCGGTGTGATGCAAACTTTCCATTAACATGTCCCTTTCCATCACATCCTGGTGTAGGACACCTGAAGTTGAAAATGAAGACAGGCAAAAATTTTACATTATATTTTATAAGACACATGTTTACCACCAGACACTACAAGAAATGTTCAAGCCTGGTTGTTTCCTATTATTATTATGAAAGAGAGCAGACATTTATAAAATAAGAACCTACTTGATATCATATACATGGAAATAGCTACACTATGTCTTGATCTTTAACTAATCCACAAACCTAATGATAAATTACCATACTTTTAAAGGAAATGCATCATGTTTTTACAATACTACCATAAAAATACATAAAAAAAATTTCTTTACTCTTTGAATCTTATCCAAAATTCTATCCACGCCTTGTCTTTCTTGTTATAATCATTACTCATCCTGAGAGTCCTAATTGGTTTTAAAGAGTCAAAATAATGAACAGGCTTCCAAACATCTTGTTGACAAGAAAAACAGAATGCATCATTAACAAACTGGACAATTTAAGTGGGCTCACAGTTATTTCTATAAGTGACTTGATCCTGTTAGCATGCAGCTGTCACTCGCCTACATAATGATGCTTCTATTATCAGGGAAGGAAAAACTTTGTATCTAATTCATTGATCCTTAGATAATAGTAATAATCTAAGGGGGTTGAGAAAAATAATATTTATTTAGTACATTAGGTGAGTTTTGAACCCTTTACAAAGAAAAGAAAAAAAGTTCTTAAAGTCTTGAAAAGAAAATCTAAATGGACAGAAGCAGATGTTATCAAAGACAGCTTAACAACTTGTCAAAGCACTAAATATTGAAATTAACTGTTATTCAAAACATGAATGTTTAACTCCACATTAGCCAAATTTTATTTGCATATTAAGAAAAATGGTGAAAGAAGAAATTGTCTTTGATGTCCTTAAGACACAAATTAAAGGGATCATCTTCTTAAGACCATAGATTCAAAAACATAACTGGTCAATAGTTATTTTAACTACATGGTATATTACAGTAGAATTAAAAGAAAAATAGTGACACTTGTGAATAAAGTATACTTTTCAAAAGTTCATTTTACAATATTATGTCTGCAGTTGCAGATCTAAGTTTTAAACTTGCTGAATCAATAAAATGCTTATGTTAGAAAACCATTTAGTACATGTCATTGTGTGGCCTTGAGAGCAACTTATGAATAATTACAAAATTATTTTCAGAGTTCTCACATGACTTCCCGAGTTACAACAACAGAGAATCAAACTCAAAAGCTTTTACCCTAAGTTTCTAGACTTTCAATTTTCAAACATTTTTCAAAACCCATTTAATATAGGAAAAAAACAAGTAATCATATGTCTTCTTGATCACCAAAACTGATAAAGAAATGCTCTTTGTTTCAAGAAGTGTTGTTCCATACAGTGTATGGTATGTTGTAAAAAGTAAAATAATTAAGATCCCTTTTATCCTATAGCAGTGCATGTGTAATATTGGCATTCATAAGTTTATAAGCTATGTGGAATTCAAAGGGTCTGACTGTCACAATAAAATTGAATGCTTATTGAAAGTTGTTCAGTTAAGTAGCAAGCTCTAATAAACTCATAACTCTTTTATTCCTTTAATTACCGTAAATGACCAAAACAGAATTTCTTGATACAATGTCAATACAATATTAAGCAGACAAGTAATGAGAAGGAAAGGAAAATATGTTAGGGGATCATTAGTAGATCCAATACAAAATTCTACAAATTAAAATCATAAGAATTGAAAGGCAGAAAGAAATGAGAATAACCAAAGAGATCTTAGGAGTAGAAGGGTGAAAAGTTATTTTTCTTTACATCCAGTTAGATGGATGTAGTTTGCTGGAATTGCAAAAAAAATCCTGACTCTAATTCTTGAATTTTCAGTTAAAATCAACAATGTTACTACCAACACCAGCCCAGACCTTTGGAAAGAGGCTATACAAGTTTGGTTGTGTGAAGTATTAGTTATTAATCCTTAAACTCTCACAGGTGACTGAGACAGAATTTTTTCCTTACAATACCAATACAATATCAAGCAGACGTGTGATGAGAATAAAGAAAATATCAATTAGGAGATTATTAGCTGCAGATCCAAATACCAAATTCTCCAAACTGACATCTTAAGAATTGTACTGCAGTCAGTCAGGAGAATTACTGATGACATCTCAGGAGTGAAAGAGTTACGTTAACTAAATGATTAAAAGACAACTGCCTATGGGAAAGGGCTGCTAAATCCAAAGATAATTATAGGCAAAGGTGATTGTGGTAAGTGGTAAGTTTTTCACCGTATCAGGGGTGACCAAAGGGACAATTCCTCTTGTATTGAGCAGAGCGGTTAAATGAGAAGAAAGAAAAGTATTACCAAAGAGATATTGTTTTGAACATTTTATACTGGTGGCAGATTGTCATGGCTAGAGCCACAGGAAATACATTATGAGCAGCGTGCTGAATTGTTATTTAGAACACTTGGTGATGAAAGAGTTAAAGATAAATAGTTTACATAAAAACAGAGGGAAAGAGAGATGAGAAAAAGGCAAAATGCTTAAATCTACAGTAGCCCCAAGCTTTTAACCACCTTGGAGCTGGAATTTTATATTAGTGGAGCACTTACCCAATAAGTTCTTGAATGGAAGCTAAAGGTGAAAAGAAAGAAAAAAAAAACTCAATGAATATAAGAATCAAAACCAATTTATGATTTTCAGCTGTTAATATTACTAAATAATGTATAAATAACAATCATATGATCAATAAAAGTATTTTGCTACCATTTGTGAAGCAATAAATCAGCCACTGATACAATGAGACATCATCTGTTAATTGGGAATAAATTAGGACCTGAAAAATATCCTTCTGCCCTTTTGGTAAATAACCCTCAAGTTTAGTTTACTACTAGCTGAAGTGAGAGAAGTTAATTTCCTTCCCAACTATCTTAGCTGAGAAATGAAACATTCTTTGTGCAAACACAGTGCATGCATTCACAATAGCAACTCCAAGAGATTGATTAAATGATGAACTAACATTTTTAAGAAGTTTTATTGGTTCAGTACATACATACATGGGTCAATTGTTGAAATTACCTGATGAGTGTGGTCATTTTTGACCATATGAAACAGAGCTGTCGTAACAAAACGATGAACTACCTCTGAAGTCTTGAAACAGTTTGTTATAATTACATACATACATACATACAGAGGTTAATTGACCACTCCCCATAGGGGCTATTGAGGGCCAACACCCACCCATCCCACCCCAGGGGAGGACATCCACCACACAGTAATCACCTGCCTGGGAAATTAATGTCTCCTACCCCTAACCCTGCAGGAGATGGGGCCTACGGTTTATTTGTCCTTATCCAAGAAGACTAGAATATCTATCCATTTCTTGTTATAGAAAGGTAGCAAATTCTCCTCAGTTATTTTAAGACCATGAGTATTGGTCCGGCCAGGGCTAGAACCCTTGACCTTCTGCACAACACAACCCGGCGCACTGACCAATTGAGCTATATTCTGTCTATAACATTACACCTTACCTGCCATTCCCAGCCCTCTGCATTGCCTCTTCATGTCTCTAACACCACCTGAAGGCTTATCAAGATCTGACAAAAAGGTCTGTCTTGTTGCATGAACCTAGAAAGACAGTAACCCTTTAATCTATATTAACAACTGCATTGGTAAGTGGAGGTTAGGTGCTTGAAACATCCAGGAGCTTCCAATATTGGCAACCAGCTCCTAGACGGTGACTTCTCCCATGGCTGGCAAATCCTGGCAACCCAGCCATGAGCCCCCATACTGGAAAGAGAAACAGGCACTTGTCACACTGAATAAACACTGGAAAGATGGAGGGAATGGAATGGGGGGGGGGGGGGACTTCCTGAACATTGCACTGCCACTCCTCACAATGCTGCAAGTTCAGGTTCAAAGCACACAAACCCCTAAAAAAAAAGTGCACATGGAATTCTGACACATGCACATATGCAAAATCCACTGACTACTCAGTAGAGAAAGCTGATGCTATTTGTTGTTAACTCAGTTAAATGGCCCATAGAGATATAGAGATAAAAGATACCTAGAGAGATAAAGTTTGCACCCAAGCCAGGTGGGTGCTCCAGATGTGGCAATTTATGCCAGATTTTCAGCTCTCCTTCTTTGAATACCAGTCAATCAGATAGAACTATGCCATTAATGTTTACAATGACAAGTATCCATTCTATCTGTCTCATCGAAATGAAACATAGAGTTCACTCTTTTAAGTAAATATAATTATACAGTCTATGTGTAAATATAATTACACATAGTTCTCTCTCTATAGCTCAGTTGTGGAGAATTAGAGGATTGAATTTGGAGGTCTGGAATTCAGTTTTTCTTGTTGGACTCAAATATTCTTTATCTTATGCTTGAGACAAAATGGAAATCATCTTCCTTTATCAAAATAAAATTTCTTACTAGGGCTCAGCACTAACAGTAGCCCACTAGCCACAGACTAGTAGAAATTCAGTTTTGGCTAGTGGTTTTCAATTTCCACTAACCAGTTTGGCTAGTAAACAGACTGAAATTGTCGTAACATCTAAAAACATCTAAGATGTCACTAGCCACTTGGCTAGTAAGTTGAAAAGTTAGTGTCAAGCCCTACTTACTCTGGCACTCTTCAGTGCCAAATCCATACATTTGGGGTTCAGTTTCTCAAGAAGAACCCAGATCTTTTATTATCTGGTGATGTTAACAAAAGAAAAAAAAAACGGTAATCTTTATCAAAGTAAAGCTTTTTGCCTGATAACACACTACAATCAGCCCAGACAAGTGTGAACCTACAATATGTTGTCATGAATGGAATCAGTTATACTAACCACTACGTCACCTGAGAGCCTACATCATGAATCTCTAAATATTCTATCTTACCCTTTTTCTTGTAGTATCTGCAGCAACAACAAAACTTTCTTTCTCCATACATTCCTCACTACAGTAGAGTTTTTCATTGTTAACAAACTCTTCACTGTATATCTCTTCCCCACATGTATGACAGCTCAGTGCTGGTGCTGTTTCTTCATGCTTCTGACTCAAATCCCTCACTATGTCATCTGATCCAAATGTCTCCTCTTCACCAGACTCTACACCGTCGACTGGGATGACTCCAGAAGGTGGTATTTTGATACAAAGCTTAGGAACTTTTCGTGGCTTTTCATAATCCTATTCACATAAAAAAATTGTTGTTGAGTAAAAATGGCATATATACTTAATAAATGATCACCCTACAGTAATTAGCACTGCATCCTACAGCAGAAATGCATTTAATACCCAAATGAGACCATAAATGAAATTTTAAAATAGTTTCTGTTTAATTGTTAACATTTTCTTGTTCTTTAGAAAAAGAACCCACAAAAATTTGCCCCCCCCCCCCCCTGCAACATCTAGCCCTGTGACTCAATTTGTAGTAGCAATCAACTAGTTAGGTAAAGGTTTGAATTTTTTCAAGCATCTTTTCCAACATTATCTTCATTTTGCAGTTCATCTGTGGGCATTACAACAGAACAACATCAACAACAATTTATTCTTTGATTTTTTACATAGAATAACGGTGGGATAGTTTGCCCCACAAATAGCTAGAAAGCTAATCATGGCGGGGCAAGACAAGTACCTGAATAACATAAATCGTCTAATATCTTAGGACAAGGAGTTGTTATTTACACAGTAACACAGTCACAGAGTCACACAGAAAAAGATAAGAAGACATTTCAACGTAGAAGGTGTATCTATGTACCTACTTTTTTAATGATCATAGGGATTTGAATATAGTTATCCTCTTTTTCTAAGATATCAAATAGCAATTTGCAAAGGACTTTTTTGAAAGCCTTGTTTGGGAGATCTATTATACAGCTTGGTATCTTATTCCACAGCTTTACTCTGATCTGAGGGAAGGAATTGTTTTGTATTTCTAGTCTTCAACTTTTGACATAAAACTTTCCAGACATAAATGATCATATATTGTTTGAATGAATAATAGATGTTTTCTGAAATAGATTTAGTATGTTTGCTGGGGCTTTATAATTATTACCTCATTATTTTTCACCATTCACAAGTCAAATACTTTTTATTTCATTTAGTGATGATTAATATGAACTGAACAGCTTTTGAACTACCAACACCTACCTATCTCCCTTGAAAAGCAATCAAAAGTTTAAAATAATGCTACTTTTTTCAGACGTTATGAATAAATTCACAGAAACTGACAGAACTTAACTTTGCCTTGAAATTGCTCTGGAGTATCAAAGATAGCATTTCTGAGCATAGATTTGTACTTCTTCAAAAGCCAGCTCCATTTTTAAAATAAGTGACCACTGGTAGCAAAATCAGTCACTCAGTAGGAAAAGCTGGAAAGTCTGTTTTCAGATTCAAGGTGTTGTAGAAAAAAAACAATCACGATAATGATTTTATGGCTGGCAAAATTGGGCTCATCCTCTGTGTAAAAACCTGTGAAGCTCACGAGTAACGTATATCAAAGACAACAAAACATTATTAACAATAGCGTACAGCAAAACAATACCTTATGAAACAAAGAAAACCTCGTCAGGATTTTACACTGAGGATGACCCCAAACATTGACAGTTGTTTGCCTATAGGCCGGGTGAGACCAAATTTCCAATTTTTATTTGTGCACAAAAGAACTGATTAGTGCCTCATAAAAAGACATTTAACCCATACCCTTGATCTTCAGTAACTAATATCTTTCAAACAAAAAGTGCACTTGACAAACTTTCATGGACTATCAAAATATGCAAATCAGCATACCTTTTGCATAAAATCCAAAATTTTCTGCTTACAGATTTTTATGCTCCAGTAGTAATGACAGAAAAAATATTTCCATTCATTTGGTGAAAGCCACAGCTTGGAATGAAAAGCTAAGGGTCAGGGTTAGTCCCGTTTCAATAACTTTCTATCAATTTGCTCCGACATTAGATAAGGAGCTTGAGAAGTGATCATGTGCCAAAATTGACACCCAACATTTTAAAAATACATTTTGCCTCACAGACACAAATGTTCACATACAAAAAAGTTATCAAGTTGAAGACCTTGGGTCTTTGGAGTTCAAAACTCCCTTTATGAATACAATACACAAAAATTGATTACTTAATGGTGTAATTTAAACATGTTGTATTCCCATCTGCAAATAATATCACCCAGAGTATTCACAGGATTCTTATCATATCTGTCTTCTAATTGTTTGAAATTCCTGACTTTTCTCGAATTTCCATTCTTCGAACTGCAAGACACCCAGAGAAACTATTTCAGTGAAATAGCTCTGTAAATGTACTTGGTAAAGAAACAAGATCTGCAACTGACATTTATCATCTAACTGTGATACGTCAATAGTAGCCAAAATCAACCATTACAGCGACACAACACTTGAAAACAAATAGCAAACGGCAAGTAGAATGAACCTTGCAAACGCTGAATAAAACTTGGCCGCATTTTAAAATCTCCTCAACATACCTGCTGATAAGGAAGGTGGGATTTTGCGAATTTAAACCGAAATTCGAGATAAGTTTCTAAACATCGAGAACTGTAGTTTTAAAAACAGCGAAGAGACCATCTGTGCATAACAATGAGGAGCCATTTACTCTCGAAATGTCCTTTTTCTTTCCAAAACTTGCACAATTGAGACCATTTTTCGACATTCTCGAGGCAATTTGATCGCCTTGATAAATCGCTAGGGTCTAATAAATTCTTTGGGCAACTTCCGATCCATCGAAGTATTTCGATCCTTTGTAGTAGGCGAAAACAACTGCGAATGTTTACTTATTTAAATGTAAGTTTTAATCGCTGTAAAAAAAATCGCCACTGATTTCCAGCCAGTGAAGAAAAACCACTAGACAGAACTAAAACAAAATTTAATCAATCCTAATCAATAAATTTTCTAGGCTGACTCTCTGCGATAAGCTTCAACAGATAGTTTAGTGAGGAAATAAGCACAGATCAAGAGAATTTCTTCGAGAAAGTACAAGTAAAAATTAACATATTTTGCAAGCATTGAAAAGATAGTTTCTATAGATCTACAGAACGTCCTTTTGCCTGCGATCTTGACGAAACTTTGAAAGGACGTTTAGCAAGTCTAGACCTCGACACGAAACGAACTTTGATCCGATGCCAAGCGTCGTGAACAAAACCAGAAATTTCTAATTCGAAAAAAGTTTTCGAAGAGCGTTCGAATGAATGAAGAAAAAAATATGCAAATTAGTTCGCCCTGTACAAAAAGTTTTAAAATCGTGGCAGACTCGTGAAGATTCCTCGATGGACGGTTAAACAGACCAGAACGCCCAAAACAAAGAAAATACAAAATTAACTTCCCAAATCTTGACGAGAAAAAAATTATCAGTAGCGAAAGAGATCGTTGCTGTAACGATTTCCAGAGGTTTGAACGAATCTATACAAGGAACGCTAGAAGCGATAACTAAACGCGCTATCAAGTTTCCATCTTTCGTGCACATTGGAAAATTATTTTGAAACTTTTCAAGAACAAGAAACATAAATTTACGCCCACTAGTTCCTAATTATTTAAAAAGTTCTGCCTGATCTGCTCCCATACTTACCAAATCGAAGGATATTGAGTCTCTTTTAATTCCTACGCCAGGAGTTTGCTGCCCATCTCGTTCAAGTCCAAATTCTCCGTTCGCATCAGGCGGTACTTCCATAACTCGTTCTCTGCTGCGAAAGATCTACCCTTTGCAGCCCTTTGCAAAAAATCTTTCGCCTTGAACTGTACCTAAAAAAAAAAAAATTGTTTCCAAATGTGCGAGCAGTCGACTGAAACGAAAGTTAAACTAACAATATTTACGCGCGGCCAAATAAAGCATAGTCCACAAAGCTGCACAAAGTCAAAATACAAAATTTTCCTCGACAGAAAATATTTGGCGACTCGGCCTAACACCACACACGATTTCCCAAACAAAGCGGGCATAGAAGGCCAGCGCAAGACGGAATTTAACTTACTACTTCCTAAAGACGAACAACCGAGTAGAACGAAAAAATTATTAAAAAATTCCTACTCCCGGTGCGATAAATTTTGTCAAAAGCTCCACACAGATATTTAATTCCGATGAAATTTCTCCAACTGACAGAACTCGCTCTTCACTTCGTTCGCGCGAGCGGAAAGAAACTTGTGTTACCCCTTCGTTCCTGCAGCTGAAACTATTATGTGCATCGGCGAAACAACATCTAAACATTTACATGGATTTTACAGCTATTTAAATATATCAACAAAGGGAAAGCATAAATTTAAAACTGCTTGAAGTCGATAAAGAGAACCACAACAATCCATAAATTTCTCTCAAGTTCAGGTTACCTTACTGAGGAAAACTTTTCGATATCTGCATCTCTACCCGAGAAAAATCGCTGCCAGGAAAGATAGAAATTCTCTTTCGCTTTTACTCTACGTTTTGTTCGCTCACATGCTATTAATTTGCATACAAGAGAAGTTTTTTTGTCACCACACGAAGTCAAGCTAACAAGGGAATGTTACCTGATTACGGTATCGTAAATCTCCCGGAAAATCCAGGCGCTGAAAAAAGAATTCTTCACCCCAGATTTCTTTGACTACGGCAGGAAAGCAGTCCGATTGCTTTATCCGCGCAGACGATCTCTCGCCTGTGAAGTTTTCCTGTTGTTTTTTTGACTTGAGCGACCTAGTGTTCTTATTCAGTGCCAAAAAGTTCCCAAACAAAACTTTCCCAAGATGCCCAGCGCGCCTCTCAGCACCCTCGGGTTAATTTTGGATTAAACATTAATTGATACGAAAACGAAAACTTTTTTCTTATCTCCGAGAAAAATCTCGCGACGAACATCATCAAATTCAAACACTATCTGGTAAATGGACGTATGTGGATGTAGAAGAAACTCCAACCGCTCTCAAAATTTCCAAAAACCGAGCGATCTACGCGAAATTTGTTCACTTTGAATTTTTAATATATCCTAACAATATACAAGTTGAAAACACTTGTCGTCGGCTAAAAGTGGTTCGAACTGATTAAATGACTTATTTCGAAAACGTTCACCTCTAAGGAAATAAGCCAGGGTTTCATACGCGAGACGAACAAAATCATGTATTTCTAACAAAATTTAAGATAAACTATCGCTTTGCGACTTCCGCGCAGTTTATTCCAAGATAGAATCAAAATATTACATTTGAATTTTAGATCAGCTGAAGGGAAGTTTTAAATGAAATCAACTGCGAAAAGTAATTTACTTTGGTTTCGGGAAACATTAAGCACTACTTAATCAAATTTTTAAACAACAGGGGGCTACGGTCATAAAAATTTTGCAACTCGCGGACACTAAGAAGAAAGAACCCTTTTCCCGTGACATTCGAGTAAACATAATTACTGTCCACTCAAGTGCCAAAATTTGGAAAGCCATACTCCCCGAGATGAATCGAAATGAATTATTCTTCAATGCCTGGTGGATTTCATTTCTACATAAACATTTTTGGTTAATGATGTGAGGCTGGAAAATTATCCTAACCGGACTTTGAGTGCAAGTGTACGATAGTATAATTTACAAGAACTAAGAAATTTTGGTTTTGTGCTTTGGCTTCGTAACAAGCAAAGACAGGCATAGTCGAAGCACTGAAACGCAATTAGTTAAATAGGTGACTCCATGGAAAAATAAAAGTGAGCTAAGTAGCAAAACAAGAAAAAAAAATCGAAGTTATTTGAAGATTCTAAGGTCGTCTCATGGCAAAGTTTAAAGCTTGAAGCCTCTTTCTTCAGTAAAGCAAGTTATAAGCCAACAAAGATAGGTAATTTAAAAATTTTCGTCTTTACACTTAATTCTATCACAACAATGTCAAGAACTTAACATAAATATAACCAACAATACGGACACCGAACGCAGATCATAAACTGACAGCTGAACGTCGACAAGAAAGTTTTACAGTGTATTGGGCTCCAGTGTAAGGCCGAATTAATATATTTTTTTACATTTGAACTGGAAGGCGACGGCAGACAATACTTGTTATACTTCATTCGGATAAATCTGTTATCGAATCAAAACTGAGATAAAGTTATTAGATCTCTACTGCGGCTCAGAAAATTAGGGACAATTTTTTTAGTGATAATTTATTTGAAAGTCAGACAACTTTGATGCTGATGATGCTGTTTGATGAAACCGCCCTGAGAACTTTAAAAAACATCTGACCGACTTGAAAAAGATTCAACGTTTTTTGCGCTAGTTAGGAATCTTACTGCTAATGAAAACTGAATTGAGCGGCGAGGTTATCTCTAAAGCGACTAACACATGCAGATGCCCTGAAAACAGAACTAGAATGGGTTACTATAGCAGAGGGTTTCAGGTACAAAACTAATTATTTAATTTCGATGATAAATTATTACAATGGCGCCCTTTGTGTTCGAAAAGCAGATTCTCATTGAACTTAACACTAGAACTCAAGATTCAGCTGTGATGTTTGTTATTCCATGAAATCTCTCTTTTTTCTAATCTGTTTCCTTTTCAAAGAAAAAAGTACAACGGAGGTCCTGCAGGCCAGGAAGAATCAAAACAAATCTGAAACAGTACTAATTCCCGGAAAAACCAGCGCCATCTTGGACATATCCTTAAAAAAAAATTGGTTACATTTATATCACAACCGAACGCTATAGACACATGTTCGCTGCTTTTTGGATCAAACTCCACATCCTGTTCCGAAAGCTTGATTTCGGTAGGATACGATAAATTCTCCCATAGACGTTTTTGGTATGGTGGAAATAATATTTATTTTTTCGATCCACCAATATCATCAGTATCATGGGATTTGTGCTGCGGATAACAGAAAATCGTTTTGGGAAATTGATGAAGGAAATTTTAACAGCGTTGTGAACAGAAAGAGTAATTGCACACCTGTCGACCTCTCTAACCCTTTACATGCTAAAATCAGTATGTATATTCTCCATACTGTTCTTTAAACACCTCCGAGGGTGCTGACAAGAAGAATAGCAAGTTGGTGATCATTTCCTTTATTCTCGTGACTTTAATGTTTGATTGGAGAAATTAGACGCTCGTCAGTCTTGGTGGTCAAAAAAGCTAACTGGAGAGAAGCAAAGGAAACTTGCGTAAATTTGACTCGAGAGAAGTTCCTTTGAAAATCTTTATCCAACTTAATTCTATGAATACAGCCACTGCAAAGCGGAAGAAAAACGGAAGGAAGACAAATGAACTGCTAGGAGCGGTGCTTTGTGAATTCTTTGTTTGCTTTTATTCTGGTTTTGTACGCCTTGTCTGCTTCAGTGTATCCTCAAATTGGCTCAAATAGCATTCAGCTTAGCAGTTGTGCAGCTGTTGCCTTCAGGCCGCTCTGAGACGTCTAGGATGTTTTGGAATTTGGCCCAGCTGTGGATGTCGTATTGATAAAAGAGGGCTGATTTTTTGGATCTGATGTGGGTATTCATCAGTGTCTGTCAGTGTATTGATTGATGACAATATCGTACACTCTGGTGAGAACCTTTGGCAGAAATTCGATCTTATTTTAAAAATGCGATACGCGAGCCTTAATTTTGGCCGAAGTTCCTAAAGAAACTGCTTTGCTGCGTCGTTGGGAGTATAACGGTATCGGTGTTGGCCCTTTGTCAGATTCAGGCAGGTGTCAAGAGTTTTTAGAGATCGCTATGATAACGAGTTATTTGTTTTGCTTACGGTGATTCAATCATTCCAAGAAACAGTGTAATATCATGTGATAAGATTTTGAACGATTAATATTATTTCAATGGCATCATTAATATTATTATAACTATTTATCTTTTCTTCAGTTTTTTCACCGCTGAACTTGGGCGTCCGAGCTCTGTAACATCCAGGAGATTATTTAAATAAAGCAACATTTTTATTTCTGAGTGTCACAGATGATACATTTTTGCTTATCTTTTTCAAGTCAACCTGAAAATGCCGTTACGTTGACTGGCTAAGGGTCGATTTCAAATCGACTCAGCCCCTGGGTCTCCGAGGATGTGCCTACCCGTGTCTCCTAGAGAAACTTAATCTTGCCTTACCGAACTCACACCTTTGCAATGATTAAGGAGGTATCGCATATAGCTGCAGACTGATTCAAGACGTTCAAAACGTTCACAGTCATCGATCAGACTGAGTTGCCAATTGTTCACAAATTATAATGAAGTTATTTATCTTACATCCTAGCTTAAAAATTTCTCGAGCCCTTCAGCGAAAAAAGAAAGTTCTATTATATTCTGACCTTCAGTCCTGTTTCATCACGACCAACCGAACAGTGGTTATGTTCAACTGACTTGTTGTCGAAGTCACGGCGCAGCCAATTCATTTCGCTCCGAACTTTGTTTTTGTTCTCCTATTTCCTGAGTCAAGCGTCATGTCCGATGCCACAACAAAAACTTCGAAAATTTCCCTGAAAATGTAGCTCCACACCTGAAATATCTGCTGAACCCCTGCCCGCGTATAACTCGTTGACTCAAAACTGCCGCCATTTTGAGACATACTAGTAACCAGTCTCTTTGCGATTTTAATCCACGGGGTATCTTTTGGGATCTGAAACTCAGCCTCATTCCTGGGGTTCCTTGTCTTTCCCCCTTCAGAGAGAGCGACACTTCCTTTGGTGGGCTTTATTCATTCATTCTGGTAATTTCCAGTATCCAGAGAAATCCGTCGAGTTACACTTGGAAGGAGACCAGCGAGCCTCCAACTGTTTGTCTAGGAGGCTCCTGGTCTTCTAGTTAGCTGACGATGAATCCTGGCTCGTTTCTCAAAACATATGGCAAGTGTAGCTGGCGTGATAATTGGTGCAACAACTCCTTATACGCAAAGACAGAATCATCGTCCAGCAAGTCTCTTCAGAAAAACTTTCTGCTACCAGAAAAAAACGGTCTCTCTTGCACAAAAACATTATTACACCATTGAGAAGAGACAAGCAAATCAGCGAAGCGCATAAACAAAATGAACAGTAAAACAAGACGTATAAAAATCTAAAATTTATTCACGTTTCCTACATCTTGTCGGCAAAAAACGCCAGAAATCAGGAACAACAAAAGCTTATAACTTACAAGCATCAAACTACTAGCTAATATTAAATGATCTATTCATAGCCTCTGTGATATGACATACAAAGAACAACAAAAAATTTATTTGTTCCCTATCAGAGTAATTAAATCGATTACATCATACCATCCGACCAATAAATTACTAGCACTAACGAAGTCGGACTTTTTAATACAAATAACAATCAGTAACCTCCAATGAACGTTTAACTTTAGGCTGGACTCTCTCGCAGATCAAAATCGAAGCCAATACCATGCACCTTGTTTCTTCGTTTTGTAAAATTCTCTGTCATCGTGGGAAGTCGTACTTGGTTCAACAGCTTGCTTGAAGCTCCACTAAACGAGTGCCATTTTCCTTGGATTTTGAAGTAATCGCCAATTTATCGTACTTTTAAACAATCACAGTTTCAAGTAGATTTACACTTGATGAGCCTTCCGATACAAATAAATATTAAGTTTCGCTCGCATGGACAATAATTATACATGCCTTTTGTTGCGAGATCACAGGACAATACCTAGAGCTTGATTCAGAATTAACAATGATTTGAACACTTTCACATCACTGCCTCGACGTAGCTGATACTCTTAACCAGTATTACGAGAGATCTTTCTTCAATGGTGTAAAAATAAAACCTTTGGATTATTTTGAAATACAAGGATTTGCTTCATTTTGAAAAGAGAAGAAGTAATTCTTGGCGAAGGACATTTTACGTATGTCGCTTGAATCCACTGGGCCAAGGCTAAGAAGGGTTACATACATCTAAGCTTGACAGCTTGAGCTTTTAGATGAAAGCCTTGCTTTAAGAGGGCGGGGGTTCCTGTGGGTCTTTCATGCTGATGCTTTTCAAAACTGGCAAATATAGACCACAGGGAGACCACTCACGCTGTTTGACCAAGAAGTTTGGTGCCGATGACCGCTGGATATCACTACTATGTTTCATTAAAGTATACACTGATTCCATTTATTCCTTTTTGGCTTTACTTTTAAGTTCACTCACGACGACAGTCTCGGCTAACTATATGGGGGGAAAAAGAACAAAGGTTTTTCAGTTAGAAGAGATGACGATCAAGTTTCGTAAAATGTAAAAGCTAGTTTAGCTCACTATGAGACACACCCTTTTACGGCACACCATACGGGACACACCCTGCTCTGATAGTTATCATACCATGACCAACGACTCTTTCACTCAGAGTTGCGTAACCCATGCATCCTTGTCACGCTTATGCGAACAATTTTCAGCTGTGCAGACGTTGTTGGTGACGCCCTAAGATAACTATAACTAGTCTAAGACGTCACGAAAGAAGATCAAGAGCCAATCAGAATGAAGTCACGTCATGCTACAAATTGGAATCTTTCGTTTTTGTGAGCAGACACTGCTCGCTTTTCTCCTCAATTTTCGTCTATTATTAAGCATTGCGCATCATTTAAACGAATACTATTTGTAGCCTAGTCCCAGATTGAACGTTACATGGCGGAATATCCTACAAAAAGAATCTTCAAAGTAAAAAAAAAACATAAAACAAAAAAAAAGTAGGTCGTCTCACCAGATTAGGCCGGCTTTTGTTTAAGTCACGTAATCTTCCTGTTTCCTGATGAAACAGATACCGACCGCTGGGGGCCACCAGGCCGTGAGGCAGCGCTCCTTTCTGCCACGTTTCTTCTCATGTTCGCTTCCTCGGTTCCAGAAAGTCTTGAAATTCCAGAAAAGCAAGAAAAGTATCAATCGTAATTTCCTTTGCATGTAACATGAGCCTTGGCTGCGCTAAGAACGCACGAGAGTCAATGAAACGTTTTGCCAATTTTGTTAGTCTAACCGATCTTTTTGCTTTCCTCCGTCTACTAAAGACAGCTTAGTGTAAACCCTATCTTCCTGTTTCGCGTAGATACATTTAGTGGCAAGCTCAAAATAAGCGTTGTTTGCCTAACAAAGAGGACAAAACAGATAATCACAAACACCTGACTTACCTTACGGAAGCACTTTTTATTTTCGGTTCCTTTCTAACGATTTTCTTGCTGAGGTATAGCACCCACTGTTTCTGTTCATCCGCGGTCTGTGCGAGCACCAACAGTTCCTTTGCTGAGATGAGGGCCATATTAACTGAAACAAAAAGACACGTTTGTAACATGCTGAGAGTAAAATCTCTAAGACAACAAAAGATTTAAATAGTTTAAGAAGTATGGGGCTACTTACGGTTACACGTGGTGATACAGGCTTCTTCTCTATCGACATGGTCTTTATGGCACTTCAAATGACAACCTAATGAAATAAGCACACAACAAGATTAATTGAAGAGACAATAAAAATAAGTGTTTTCCATAAGTTGCTAAGACACAACAGAGTAATTACAGTGGGCTGTACAACAAACAGAAATGAAAGAATGAACTCTTTATTTAGTTGGTTCTTAGACAATCAAGGCTTCTTGAATTGGTGATCTTTTCCTTTATGCTTTGTAACACAAAGTAATGGACACAAAGTCAATATAAAACCGCCATGTTCTATTCTGCACACGTCAACCTACTCCGAAGGTCCCGGATCTAGTTACCAGTACCACAACAATAATGCTTGATTCACGGTTGATACTGAAAGAAGTTACATGCTTGTCATTCGTCAGGGGTTCAAGGGTTAATTTCCTTACGTCTGCACTCTACTGCTGGAGGAGGTTTGAACATGTGCCACAGAGGTTTGCTGCAAGAGTCACAATTAGTAGGCATGTGGTAGTGCATGGGTATGAACTGATGCCTCATGTAGTCGATGGCATTCATCCGATCCTGAAAATCATAAGAAAAATTGTCAGAAATATTAAGCACAAAACATTGTGATGACCTTAACGTAACTAATGACATTGATAATAACGTGAAACGATCAAATGTTAGATGTGTTTTCTTCTTTTCCTTTACCAAGTGTTCTCAGTAAATCATTTTATCTCATTTTCCCTGGCATTCATAACCCACACACAGATAAGAATACCTTCCGTGGCTAGAAACAAAACTCGTAACATTTCACGACCTGTACAAACCCCGAGCGTGAAAACTAGCATATGCAGCGACCACAATCGCCCAATACTTAAACACAGTTAACTGAGTTATAAGAGTTTGGGGCCAAAGACAGCAAGGACTTAACATTCAAGACTACGAGATGTATGGGTGGTAAAAAAAAAAAAAAAGATCTCTTTGACATGTTTTTAGTTTAAAAGTGCCTTCACACCATGTCACTAAGAGACATTGTAGAGATTAGAGTTTAGGAGATAATCAGAGAAGCAAGCAAGATTTTTTAGCCGTTGAGGGGAGGGGCAGGGCAGAGGGAGAGAGATTTACACAAGCGTCCCCCGGGCATTCAAAGGTGCTTCACTTTGTTTAAGTACTACATATCATCAGGGTTAAATACACCTCGAGGATCACCCTTCCCTTGCATATACGCCCATGCCCTTGGTGTAATTTCATTATGAATACCTCAGACTGCAGGTCCTCCTTGTCTTTTTCCACAGGGTTAATGCTCTCGGCCTCATTAGCGTATAAAATCTAAAATTCAAACGTTACAACTGATTTTAAAACACCTTATTTTCCAGACTCATAGCTGGACACCGCTATGGTCAAGCAATTACAATACGAAACCAAAAGATTGAAATATAACACTTGAAACACAGCAAGAAAGGTGCTGGAGGCTGGTACCGAATGAATGACTCCACCATTTATATTCTCTCAGGAAAAAAGCACAAAAAGGCGATGTGACACTAGTAACGGAACACTCACCTGAAATATCCTTGGAATATCTTTGGCATCGGCACGTATGACATCACCTTGCGTTACTGATCTCACGTGAAATAATTTACTGTAAAGCAAAAGGCACGTACTTGTGAGAACCCCTCTAAAAGCTGCTAAAAAGATTGCCATTTCCTTAATTTACATTGTTTCGTTTGAACGTTTCGATGCACTCGTGCCAGCTTCTCAACCAATCAGATGCAACCCCAGTATGCAGGGGCACGATTGGACATGATCAATCAGGTTAGAGGATTTTGTACCATGTGATAAATAATACTGAAACCTGATTGGCTATGTCTGATGGTGCCCTCGTATACTACCAACTCTACTTCGGCAGCTGCGTTTTCTAGCGTTACACTGGATTCCAGTGTTTACTTTATATTAACATTAGATCCTTGTCGTGGAACAATTTTCATTTGCGTGTCAAAAGTAGTCCGGAATATCTCAGGTTTTGTTTGACTACAGTAAGCGTATTGTCGAGGGGCCTTATTCTACCAGCACAGCGACTGGAACCGAGTGTAAATTTTAACTGTCAGCCGTCATTCTTGGAGTGTAGCTTACCTGATTTCTAAAATGATGGCGGGTGTTGAACTACTTTTATGATCGGCATCCGTGTTATAGAAAAATATCTTGCGATTGCTAACGACTAAATACTGCAAAACAAACAAACAAACAAACAAAGACAAATGTTATATTGACACTGAGACATCCAAATGAAATACAACGACGAAACTAAAATCAAAGGTGGGCAATGAAACTGCGGGCGGTTATTTTAACTAACTCTCCTTCGGACTGAATCAATTATTTCTTCCTCTGATTCCAGTTCACGATCAGCCTTCCAAATCTCAATTCCCTTTCCCATGCAACGTTTCGTTTCTAAGCACTGAGAATTTAGTTTTGAATGATACACAGATATCGCATCAATGTCAGTATCTGAACAACTGCGCGCCTACCCCTCCCCTAACCGAACATTTACGCTATATCGCATCAATGTCAGTATCTGAACAACTGCGCACCTACCCCTCCCCTAACCGAACATTTACGCTATATCGCATCAATGTCAGTATCTGAACAACTGCGCACCTACCCCTCCCCTAACCGAACATTAACGCTATATCGCATCACTGTCAGTATCTGAACAACTGCCCACCTAACCCTCCCCTAACCGAATATTAACGCTAACTTGTTATGGGAGGGGTAGGCGCGCAGTTACTCAGATATTAACACTGATACAAAAGGTGTTTAGAAACCATTAGTTATCATTGTCGTCATTCTCATCTCTTGGCTTCCTGCCGAAAAACTGCAAAAAGGCAATTTGTTTCGCCACGCTATTTAATGCTCCTTCAAAGAGGAGGCAAAGATGATTATCACTCACTTGTCTCTTCCAACCATATCTTTTTATATTCTGTTTGTTTGGAATAGAAACCCATCCTTCTTTGGGCATATGGACTGGAAAAAAAAAAGTAAAAAAAAAAGAAACGAATTCAAGAGTAATGCATACCACAGCAATGCACAGAAAAAAAAGTACAGAGCTCTTTTCAGGACACATTCTCAGGCCTTTTCCTCAAAGTCAAATATTGTTTCCTGCTATCTTCTTAAGCGTAGAATATTGTGTTACCTGGCACGGAGAGGGAATCGTCTTCAGTTATGCTCGTATTTAGCGCCTTTTGTTTAAGCTGAGAGTTCAGTCTTTCGATCGTTAAATCTTTGGAATCCAGCTCCATCTGAAGACAGAAAAATATTAATTACCCTTACAACCCCCTCATAACACATCCCTTCAATGCGCTGGTTAATTTTTCCTCAAATAATTTAACACTCTACAGGAAACTCATTTAAGCAAAGTTTGTGTCCGGTCGTTCGCGAAAATCTCATTGTTTAAACAATTAAGAGCTTACAAAAGCGATTTTGTGACGAAATGCAATTTGTAGTTAGATTGGGAAGAACGACCTGTTGAAATTAAAAACTCACGATTTGTTGGGACACGATCCGAATGAACTCGTGAGTTACATTTGGGGAGCGAGGCCAACTAAACCTTGGACAGCTTAACCCGCTATGGCTATATACTATAGTCAAGAACATTAGCCGAGGAATGTTCCGATGATACAGACGTCTCACTCTGGTTTGTTTTGGCTTGTCGAGGAATATCCTGGTAAGGGAATATCCGAAAGTGGATTGCACTCACCTGCATTTTCTGTCTCTGCTCCGTCTCCATCTGAAGATTCATCTGATATTCCGCTAACTGCCCTTGGAACTTTGTCACCATCTGACCATACTTCTCCCGTTCCTGTACACACATAAAAGATATGATGAACAAATACTGGGCAACTGTGTAGTTCTACAGTCTACGAAGAAGGCGAAAATGATTCCGACCGGCAACCGCAAGCAAGAAGCCACGCGCGCAAAGGCCGATGAAGTTCTCTTCCAAAGGATCTGATCTTTCACGCTTGCTGTTTGTTCTGGCCCAAATATTTCAACGGCTGGAATCATACAAAATTATGAAACCCTTAAGGCCTAAAGGGGAATCTTACAACGGATTAGTTTTGGAAGCAAATGAGATTTTCATCCCGAGACCAGTCACAAAGCGTAGTATAGCAAAACCTATGCAATCCAGGTTGACAGTTGACCCGCACAAGAAATTTCTCCATTTTTGATTAGTGGACTTACCGCTCCCAGTTCTTGATGTAGTTTTCTACATTCTTTCTCCTTCTTTCGTAGGTCGTCGGAAGTAGCTTTTCTTTTCCTACTCGCGGTCTGCATCAGGTCTTTCCTGTTCATTATCTCAGCAAGTTTGTTCACTGCCTGAATCTTCAAAGTTTTCTCTATATGCAGTTGCTTTCGTAAATTCTCGGTGGCGCCTTCGATATCTTTGCTGTTGTCTTTGGATTTTTCCAGCTCTGCAAACGAATGTGGCTCGGTGAGAGGTAAGCAATTTAATTCTTTCATTCCCAGGAGTAAGCAGTACGTAATTAACCTCACAGTAAATTAGTACATTGTCCACGAGGAAGGTGACGTGAAGAAAGAAAAATGTCGACCAGAGCACAGTGTATGATTGGACAAAAGATTCTCTAAACAAAAAAAACATCCGAAAAGCATGGCAGACAAAAGGGAAAATTTATATTTAAATCTTAGGAGTAAAGGGTTAACGAAACCTCGACGCTTCGATTTGAGTCGAGAATAACAGAACAATCTTCAGCTTACAAGGAAATGTAAAATGTTAGTTCAGCAAGATAGAACACAACAACAGACGCAATAATAAAACAAGACACAAGGGTGGCGTAAGAAGGAGCAAATCAAAACAGATTGCAAACGCCTCACCTTCTTGCAAGCTCTTGATTTTGGAATTGAGCTCATCTCTATCAGTCATTTTTTGCTCCAAGTTGCCTGTCAGTTGCTGGTTCAGTTCTTCCAGCTGAGTTATCTGAGCCCCTTTTTCTGACATGTCGCTCTTGTGTCTTGCAATCAATTCTTTGACCTCTAGCTCAATCATCGTTTTTTCTTTCTCTAGATCCGAGTACTGTGTAAAAAAGAAAACGTTACCGCTGATAACAACCTCACTTTCTCTCTTCATCCTCCTTATGGTCTCTCGCCAAGTCATGCAACAACTAAAGTCTCCTTCCCAGCCAGATTTCTTACCACACTCAAGTGAAAATTCTTCGATCACAGAAAGTCAACCCCACCTGTTCTTCGGCGATGGACCTCGCAAGCTGTTCAGAGTCCACCATGGTTAAAGTCAACTCCAACTGGGCAGAGAGAGACTCTCTAGAAAAACACAATTTCATTTTCAGTGAGAAGAGCTCCTCTTTCATTTTTTATGGGAACAAGAGTGGAAAGTTCATTACTAAAAGAAAATGTAGTCTCTTTTCGGGATTTTAAAACAACCAATTCTGACTACTGGTAAGCACCCACAACAGTTTGACCTGTTCAAATATTTTTGCTACTTTGCTATCACTAATACACTTTATGGTCTCCCCCGTGGATCTATATTTCGCCAGTTTTCTGACCTGTCGTCACTCATCTGACGTAACTCCTTGCTCATATCCAACAGCTGCTTCGTTTTTTCGTCAACTTCCTCTCGCAATTCCTTCACTTGGGTTTTGTACAGAGTCTAAAAAAAAAAAAAGAACAAAATTTAATTAAAAGTGATTAATGTGAAAATTCGTCAGACAATCACTACAGTAGACGACAACAATAACAACCCGAATAACAGTCTGCCTTCGGTACGCTTTACGTCCAACAATTTTTCATTTTTTTCAGTTAATGTTGCTTTAAAGAAGCAGGCGCAACATTTCTAAGAGAAACAATAGTCTGTTTCGAGTTACTAGGGTTGAATACCAAAATTTGTATCCTACCGAGAAGTATGTTTCTGACTCTAGTTGGTCTTGAAGCTCTTTCATTTGAAGATCATCCACGGCACTTGCACTGAGTAAGTGACAGGAAAAAAAAACCAGAGGTGAGCTGCTGATTTGACTTAGTATGCATCTGTGCAACTATTATGTTATGGCTGCCTTCCATTTCTAACAGGTTATCAGTCGAACAGTCCTGTTCATAATTAGGATCTTCCTGTCCTTTAGGTAGCTAGTAGGGTTTAACATCACCATACTTTAGCATGCAGTTAAAAAGAAGATGCGATACAGGAGGAACCTCCTTTCACTCCCC